CATAGAAAAAAAACATTATTTAATAAACAACGATGACAGAAATTGGATGAGTCAAACCATTATTGAAACAATAAAAAAAGCTCTTCATAGTAATAATGAAAATGTATATTAATATTTATTATTACATTTAATCAGTTCACTTAATAATTGATAAGTCTAYTATCTAATGGTCGTTAAGTTTTGATGATTAATGTTAATAATACTATTTTTATAGATMCGTTTTATTGCAGTAAATCTTATTTTGGAATGTCAAAAGAAAACTCAACCATTCACTGATACAGAGTTAGAATTAATGAAATACTTTATTACTTACAACATAAAAACTGAAAAGCCGTCAGTTAGACAAACAAATTTGAGCTTTGTTAAAAAAGTTGGTGAAATATAAAATATTTTAAAATATAGATGTTTTATTAGTTTTGTTTTATTTTTTATTTCAGACACTTATAAGAATGAATGAAAGCAAATTTTCTGTTACAGTTAGAAATGACGAATCTTTAAGTTCAAAATTACTAAAATATTACACAGAATTTCAAAATTGGTTTTCAAATTTTTGTTTTCAAAACCTTTTTTCTGATGCAAATTTTTTCAGACGTAATTTTTCCCTTGAATCATTACGCCTTATTCAAACTTATCTGGTACCAACTGGTATTATTGGCTTAAATGAACCAAAACAATTATCTTTAATTTTAAATTGTATATGGGATACATTTGAGCAAAATAAAGTATTAGCTAAAGATATATTAACTTGCAACAMCCAAGAATTTATCAAATTGGTAATTACTTATTAATATCTTAATTTTATAATTATATTCATCTTAAACATTGATTTTTTACTTYTAGGATGATATAATAATAGAAGATATGCTTGAGACATCTAAAATATTAGCATCTAGTACCAGCCCTCCTGATTCCATTACAGCAGGATATTTATTAGAAGTAGTTATGTTTTTAAAACATAATAAAAAGTGAGTTTCATATTGATAAATTAATTGTTATATCCTTCATTTATATATGAACCACATGTCCACATAGCAATTTTMATTTTTGCAGGATCTACAATCTGAATAAATATTAGGGTTAATTTATTTGTAAAATTATGATAATGAATTAATGTGGTAAAAAACTTAGCCTTTCTATTAAATATTATATTTTTTTTAATAAAGAAAGATAAAAAATAATTATCCATATTAAATTAATGATTCCAAACTCTGATAATTATTTTGTAACTATTTAAGAATCAAATAATATTCACAGCAGGAATCATCAACATTAGACTGTCTGCTATAACATTTTATCCAACTCTGTGTTTAAGTATATAATTAATTAACTAACATTTTACCCTAATACCCATGATTTCATGTTTTTTATTCATAATATTCTAGTTATGAAAAATATACATATGACATTATACTGGATTTACTAGTTGACCTTAAAAAAGAAGTTGATCTAGCTGAAGAAAATCTTACTTTGGCATCGGGAAAAGGACCAATGTATGGATTAATTCATACTATAAAACATTTGCTTAACACTCTTGATTGGCAGTAAGTTTTATTTTTCTTCTAAACCTGTTAAATAAACTAAAATAAATAAATAATTGTTTACTTTGTATCATATATGTGTTTGTGTACACTTTTAGTTATTTAATGTTTTTCAGAAATCTTATTTTAAAAGATAATTGGACCACTTTCATTGAAAACTTATCAAAAACTTGTTTAAAATGTGAAAAACTTGTATCAATTGTTGTAAATGATTCATCTCCCGAGGGTATTATTCCAATGGATGGTAATGTATAGAATATAGATGTATACTTATACATAATTGTATCAATTTAACTTTATATTACAAAATTTTAAAAAAATTAGATTTATATCAAGATGATTGTCAAATAACTTCACAAATGGTTTTACTTTGCTGCTGGCGTACAGCAAAAGAATCATCATTATTGCTGGCAGACATAGTCAGTATTATTGAAACACAAGATTCAGACTTTAGTAATGCTCTGATAACACAAATATGTTCATGCTTAACTTTATTACTTTCTGAAACCAAACACCGAGGTGCATTTGAACAAATATATGTTGCATACTTAAAAGTTTGCTCTATTATGTGGAAGTATGTATTTTATATAATATATTATAATGTTATGCTTTCTATTTTTATTTTTATTTTTTATTAGAAATAAACAATGTATAGTTTCTGCACATGCACAATAAAATTATGTGGCAAGAWTAATAACTAATAACATAGACATGAAATGTTGGATATTATTAGTATTATAAATATAATTTAAAATAATTTTTAATTCCTAAAATGTTCTAATGTATTTTATTATAATATAATCAATTATAGTATAATGTATATCATAATATAGTAGACTATACTCTATTCAGAATGAGATCATACCTTGACGACCTGCTTCGGTCCATGGGCGACAGGCGTGGCTTCATTCTGTAGTGCTAGCCCCACAATATATCGTTGTTCAACTTGGTGGGAGAAGCGTCTGATTGTTGCAGACAAAAACTGGTCGCCGTCGTGGTACAATCTTATTCCAAATAGTGTATATTATGCAGTTTTGGGTAGTAACGTAACGTGCGTTACTCGTTACTGTAACATAGTAACATTTTTCATTAACGTTATGGTAACTTTGCTATTATTATTTTTGGGTAATGCAAGTGTAACTACGTTAATTATTTACAAGTAACTTGTCAGAAGAACGCATTACATTATAAATTAA